CTATGTAATGGAATTCAAAAAATTATCTAAATCCTACAATGTGGTATGTTTTGAGATGCTAGAAAACGGTATCCACAGTCGGCATCTGCAGTGCCTTCGCATACTCTCTACTTGTTCTAATAACCGTAGCTCGCGGGTAGTTGCACGATATCGAAGTCGTTCGGGATTTTTTGCTTGTCAAAGCTGTGGACATCGATGTGTGCAATCAGCGCACCTGGACTGTGAGCCTTCTTTTCTATAAAGAAAAATAGTTGCTATAGGGCTCGGTTGCATTAACCTCGACCTCTGCGATTTACGATACGATCTTTTAAGGAGGTCACCCTACGCCGATTGATGCTCGATGTTTATTGCGGAGAACTTGGCATAGGGACTCGGTCATTCGCATCTCTCAACTTAAAGAGACGGGGATACGCACAGCGTTAATGGTTGGTACACCCACATATTTAAAATCAGCCGGTGCCACAGTTTCAGCAGCTAAGAGATTGCTTTAGTCCTCTTATGTACGGACGAAGCCCACTAAATCTGGCGTGCTCGAGAAACCATATTTCGATCCCTAACCAATGTTTTCGGATTATTCCGCTCCGCAATCAATAAGACACTCTCCGGTACCTTGAATGCAGTCGCGCTGACGCGGCACGAGCCGCGGCTGTATCTATTCCCAAAAGCAGTTATCATTTCCGTTTTAAAGAAGATTTACCGCCATGCAGGCTACGAAAGCTTTCAACATTCAAATACAGCCCACCAATCTTTTCGTGAGGGAGACACAATTTATGACCGCATGCATTGAGCTTGGTAAGGCGGTGCGAATACTCGCAACATTTGTCTCTTGAGTAGGACACATGATAGGAATGCCTCGTTTACCTAGCCCTCCCATTTGTAAGCAACCTTTATGCTTGCTCTCGCTTGCGGGGCGCCAGCTGATTCCTTGGGAGTAGGGTAGAATATATGACCACCTTAATGTCTTGTGATCGTCAAACACGTTGGGAGCAAATAAAGAAGATTATATCTTTGCTCTCAAGTGTTCGGCGATCAACGAAAGCAGCATTGATGTAGTGAGCACTGTGAAAACCGGTTGTGCTTTCACAGGCGTCTACGTGGACATTCATTCATATATCATAAAGCGCGTGTTCATAGCTGGTGAGCGAACGCCTAAGGTGAGATATATCCGCTTCTAGTCCTTCGGCCGTCAATCGCGCTACCCTCTTGTGGCAATCTAATGACAGAAGCTTGTTAAGTGTTCCTGCACAAACATATAATGTTGCATCCTCACAAAGCATAGTGTCTTATGCAAACTCGGTCATCAAATTGACAAATGCTGCAAAGTGCGAATAGGCTACCGCACACCCTGCACAGGTGATTCTGTATATGTAACTAAAGCTCTCGCTTGGCTAAAATTTGAAATTCTTGATGGTTTTGCTAGTCATAATTACAAAATACGCTTCATCGCATTGCGCGAGGCTAGCAGCCTAGGACCTATTTTACGGAATATAATATACAGATACATATACGTATCCGGTCTTTTGAATCCGCCCTAAGTCCGAATGATTTGTCCACCATAACAGATACGTACCCCATACCTTACTTGTACCTAAGGTCCGATGAGACTCGTAAGATGTGCAAAAGCGGCCAGGACCATCAGTAACCAGTACTTACTGTCTCTCATATCACAACGCTGCACTTGTCTGAATAGCGGAAAGAAAAGAGCTTGTTCATTAACTTTGTCTCGACTGCTTATCGAAATGACCTCACACAGGATATCATCAGAAATGCGCTGTCCAGTTGATTGATAACGTGAATGCTGAAGCAATTGGGTAATGAATCATCTCGTGCGTCGGCGTTGAGCTAGGACTTTCACAGAATGTCGGAATTCGCCATCCATATGTAGTAATTTAAGTTACATTCAACATCACGTTGTGTAAGGTGTCAAAGCCGGTTTCGAAAATTTAGCTCTTTCGACATTGATATGATGAGGTAGTCGTCATTTAGGTTGCCGGCCTGGTCAGTGGGTGAGATTTGACTACATTGCTTGACAACTGACATAACATTCGTGAGATCAATCTCGTACCGCTCATTGAAAATTATGTCTTCCCACAACATCTGTGTACTTCATATCAAAACATACAGGAACTGAAGCCAAGTTCTCGAAATGCAGCCACCATCGCTCTTCGAAGTGTAAGAACCATTGATATTGCGAAATTGATTTCTGACTTACTACTATAACGCCATTAGTCTCAAACGTGGCCGATAACTTATAAGTCTAGAGTTTTTCCTCCAGTGCATTCAAATATGTCTCGAGTGTACGGCTTTATCTCGTGCGACGACTGATATCCGGTCGTCAACATGATAAAAAGAAGAAAGAGATGGATGTGCACGTGCAGAAAATCTTAATAATATACTTGACATGATATAATACATGCTACTAGCCGCGTTTACGGCCAGTGACGAGTAAACTCTCACGCTCAAGCATGAAGTATAATTTGATTTCCACAAATCGATATGCATGTTCATAACTATGGCAAAAGCCACCCTTGGTCAACTAGGCCTACATTTCCAAATAAACCGCAATCAGAGATTACAAGACAACCTTTAGCAGTAAGATTGAAGCTTGAAAATCGAATGCGATCATCTGAATCATTTGTTTAGCTGCATATTCCATGTACAGATCTTAAACCATGCGATAGAACCACATTTTTTCGCTGATACAGCTGACGCAAAGAGGTGTGAAAGTTTTCAGGATTAGTAATGGACCAATGTATGCATAGTACCAGAAGAATTCAGCCTTCCCTGTACACTCCCTTACGTTCTTGTGAACGAGTTAGATTCTACACGCAGGGGATGTCGCCTTTCAATGCAGTTACTGCATGGATGAACGAAACGCTTTTCAGTGAACATAATAAATTGGATTTGATGAGTACATTCGTAGAGCTTTCGTGGACCAATCGTAAATCTTAATATCGTCAAACGAGAACTCAACAGCGTCGTATATCAATAAAATATTCGACACCTGAAAAAGGCTGCTAAAGAACATGACGTAGCATTTGCAATTGCGTCGTCTAGGGTATGATTGGAAGCGGTCGTGAGATTTGCAGATCTATAGTGCAGATACGTACATGCGTGTGGTGCTGTCAGCAATTTGACGACAAGACACTCACTTTCTGTACATCCAGCCTGTTAAGTCGCTTGTCCTTGAATGTCTACCTAGCACGTATACTATCAGAATACCAGGTTCATGACATTAATCAAATTGCAATAAGTAGATTCATCACTTGTTTCTATTCTGCTACATACTCGACCCGATTTACTAAAGCTTGTTCTTCTAAAGTTCTCGTTTTGAACTTACGTTGAATGATCGCATGATGTAACATTACAGAACCAGTACGCCTAGACAAACTCATGAGTCAATCTATAAAATTACGTGGTGAGGAGAGACATCGTCTGGTTGAGCAGTTCAATAAGTTTGATATTGCTTGAACCATTCAAAGCATGTGGAAAACTAGAAAAAAGTTACTGCTATAGAAATGCTTCGAAGCGCTTCTTTACATCGTTCATCTTCAGTAATGAAAAGGTCGAAAGATTGGACCCTAAATCCCGCAGGTCATATGATAGAAAACTCTCTCTACGAAAATTTCAACAATTTCTACACTCACTTGTCATATGAAATACTCTAGAGTCATGTCAATTCTTGTTGAATCACTTTCAGAGATTTAGTTGAGTAGATATCGGACACCAATCATGCAGAATCTTGCTCTTGTTGTGACTGGAGCCATCATCTTCGTATCATTGCCAACTGTTAAAGGTCACGGCTACCTTGTAGAGCCCGCAGCTCAATGGCCCGAGGGCTACCCAGTTAATGGTTACAGTGCTACAGTCGATAATGAGATCTGGGGCGTGTATGATAACGCGAAATACGGTTATGGAGCCAACGGTACGTTAAGCTTTTTCATTGATGTATTCCCTTCAAAGGGCTACAAATCACTCGGAGACTTCATCACAAAGAACCAAGAGCTTTACAGTGACAAAATGAGTCCAGACTGCGGTCTCACTACCTTCAAAGACACGGCTCGATCAAAGCTACCGGCACAATTGACGTATTCAGGATTTACTCATCCAGGACCGTGTGAAGTACGATGCGATGACACAATTGTGTTGTCCGAAAACGACTGCCAAACGAAATTTTCGGCCATTCCTGCTATAATGTCGTATGATAAAGCAAAGTGTGCTAACGCTAATCGTATGACAATTTATTGGCTTGCTCTTCATGGAGATCCATGGCAGGTATATACAAATTGCGCTTGGTTAGAAGGTGGATCTGGTAGAGGCGAAGCTCCTTTAAAAGTAAGTTCTGGTGGCTCGACGCCGACAACTACCACCACCCCCGGGACATCATCAGCTTCTCCTAGTCCTGCTTCAAGGACATCTCCTGCTTCTCAGGAAGTTGGTAAAGAAGCGATTGTGTCTACAGGTGATTCCTACGGACCCTCGACACCCGATAGTACCCCTACTTCCACACCTCCGACCACCACTACACCGCCAACAAGTTCAGACGCCACTCCACCCACTCCCTCGTCTTCTGCGCCTCCGAGTACATCCTCCGAGACTACCGGCGCGAAGTGTGTCCGTCGCAATTAGGTCGAACTCGATTTGTCAATCATATTTGTAAGTTCCGTGAGTAATTGAGCTGCACCAGTTCTAAAGTTCTTTCACATCCATCATCAATCCTTGAACACTTGTTAATATACTGATGCTTAGTGCCAAATTCGCACATCTCTTCTAGATTCTTCAGGACAGAATCGCGACTACATTAGTAACCTGACCGTGAGATTGGACACTAATCTACTTCAAAGAAATCTTACTATTAACATCTATAGATTGTCATTCGAATAATCTTATAAACAAAGTTCTACAGCTGACGAGAGAAAAATGACGTGTTTGTCAAGAACAATGTTTCATGTAGATATTACCCGACACATGAATCTCGTGGAAATGACCAAGTGAATATCAGCTCATCAGCTGCTTTAGTGATAGACGTCATGACAGTGAAATGCAATCGACAACGAGATGGTGATATCAATGCAAGATTCGCTTAGGTAAGCTGGTTGATTCGAATGCTACAAAGACAGAAAATAGTGACTACCTACGACAAACTGTATTCTAATTTCATTTCAAGAGATCAATTGTTGGCTTTCTACCATCTGTGCAATTGTTAAGGTTGCTGTTTGATAAAAACGTTGATTGAAGAGCAGAAGAGTTTGATTCCAATTCAGCAAGAAGGGGACACGAAGGAGACGAGATTTTTACTGTTGTATACTGGCACAGTCGATCATGATTGCTCGAGAATTTTCGATCCATCTGGCAATAAAGAACAACAAGATAATCTCTCAAAAGGACCTTCAGAATCGAAATCGATGTTCTTTTACATGGTCGTCTTTCTTTTGTACTCTCTCTATGTCACGATCTCATGAAAGAAAGCTGGTAGGATGGCAATTTCAAGGTCTATACCGTTAAAACATCGATGACATTCCTTTACATTCGAGCATTAAGTCAAAAATTAGCCTGCACGCCATTTTCACTCATCACTTACATTTTCACACTCGAATCAAGGCAACGAAGTAAAAGCCATGAAGATTATCGCACTCGTTGCCATCGGAGCTACTGCGATTCCGCTCGTAATGAGTCACGGCTATATCGTCGATCCTGCTGCCCAATGGACTCAAGGATATCCATCCAATGGATATGGCAGTACAATCAAAGGAGATATTTTTGGTGCGATTGATAATGCAAAGTATGGTTATGGACCGATTGGAGCTGTGAACACGATCAAAGCAAATTTGGACACAAAAGGTGGTGGATCCCTTAATGCGTTCATTTCAAAGAACCAGAAACTATATAGTGATCAAATTGATCCGCATTGTGGTCTCACGACCTACAAAGAAGGCAGTCGCTCCAAGTTACCAGCTCAGCTTGAATATACGGGTTTTACTCACCCTGGTCCATGCGAGATAAGGTGTGACGACGAGAAGGTACTGTTTGAATACGACTGTCAAGCGAAGTACCCCGCAATTCCTGCTAAAATACCATACGACAAGGCAAAGTGTGCAAACGCTAATCGTATGACAATCCACTGGATTGCTGTGCATGCTACCGAGTGGCAAGTGTACACAGATTGTGTGTGGCTTGAAGGTGGCTCTGGCATTGGAAAGCCATCTGGAGATGGAGCTGGCACGTCGGATACTACGAATACTACCAGTACAACTCCGACGGTCACTCCAACGACAACAACGAGCACTCCTGTATCAAGCGGTGAAGTTGGTAAAGAGGCCAGTGCTCCTACACCACCTTCGACCTCTCCTTCTAGCTCGTCCAAGTGTTCACGACGCCAATAATAGGCGTTTGTTAACCTAATGTTGATGTTTCAAGTAGTCGTGAAAAGTGCAGAGATGTAAACAAGTGAATGCATCAATACGTTCTTGTCAATTTTACTTTCTTGTTTTGACATTGTTCTGCAGAAGTCCGTAGAAACTGTTCTTTACACATAATGTCCAGAACTTGAAAGGGGTGGTGGTCATCAGCACATTTTATACAAGCTTCGAAAAAGGCTATCCTCAAGTTTAAATGTCTTCGTTTAAACGACAGACCTTGAAAAGAAGCTTCCTTACTTTCCACGATATTGATGTCATCAAGTGTAGGAGAGAGAAGAAAAGGTGCTGTGCACTAATCGTGAGATTTGATCACACCTGTTTTTCTTACATGAGGCAAGGACGATCTGTTATGCACAGCTAATGACACATTTTGGGAGCTCAACGTCTGCTTACCCAGCCTATCGCTTAGCTAATTTGCTCATTTCGTGGTGCCGAGAGAATATCTCTTCGAGTAACTTGGGCAATGGGCGATTGTGCCACATTAGTCTGTGTCTGTCTAGCATCTTATAGATCATTCTAGCTGGTACCCACGACCCTCTTGTTACCTAATGCGTAATACGCAACCTCAAATTTCTTGAGCTCCACCACTTTTCCATGCAGCATTGGAATATGTCCATGACTTGGAGAAAGTCGCTCACATCAACAAATCTTCTGCATAAACCATTGAATGTACTTTTAAGATAGTCGACTTGAAAAAAACTGCATGAGTTGGAACTCCTTGAGCTTGGCAGTGTGACTTGGAATAGCTGTGCCCAGTTTAAGGCCATACAAGATCAACGCAAGCTCATTTTCTCCACTTGTCTTGCTGTGCTGGAACTACCACACGTGCGATATTGCAATGATCCCTTTCCGCTTATCGTGTCTAGCACGACTGTGAATGTGAAATAGATAGCTAGCATCAAAACGTGTTCGTTGCCACACGAGCAAACAAGTTTGCGCTCGAAAATTACTGTTATTGACTATGTGGATCCATACGAACAAAGTATAACTACCTGAAGTTGATTGATAACCTATACAATGATCTTATCAAAATAGCGAGCAAAGTTCCGGCAAACGACCGCAGTGTCCTTTAAGAGCACGAAGTTACAAGGTGTTTCGCAGAAACCCCTTTGTCACATTGATCAATTGCCTATTGCATTGAAGAGTCGTCTTCGTAAGCTTTAAATAATTTTGTTTGCTTCGATATGGTTCAATGGAAAACAGTCACGAGGCGATATCATAAGCAAAAGCACTAGAATCTCTAGCATCATAGAGGAAAGTCATATTTGATTGGGTAATTCTAGATCCTGCCCTCTCACCAATTACTGGGTTTCATTACACAAAGACTCAATTGTGTCATGAAACCAGAATTCTTGGTCATCTGAGAATCCTCTGATAGACGCATTTGGTATGGTCAAGTCTTCAGCTATTTTTATCTTTAACAGTTCATGCGTCAATCGGCTTCCACTTCTGCCCTCCCCTTGATACGATCAATCATGCAGCAAGTTTTAGCTCTCTGCTTGGTCACCAAAGATTTTAGCTTTTCTCGCCCCTTAATATGCACACATATCGCAAATACAGCGGCAACAATCGGCCAAATACAGCTTCTTGGAGTCTCGATCGAAAACTTGATACGTAGCCCACCGATGAGAATACGGCGCGTGATGATAGCATGAGCATAATTCAACACACAGGTTCTGATTCTATCTGTTGGTTTCATACCACAAAGTCTTCTTTTTCCTAATACTCGCAAGGCTATGATAGACATTTGGTTATTCGCATGGTGGCTAGATCAATATGCATGCTTTCAGACCGCAATCAATACAAGGACAAGCTTGAACGGAGTTCGGCACATTGGCAAACAATTGTATGGGTATGAGACCGTGATGATTATGAAGATAAGGTAGACAGCGGTTAGAGTAGCTATGAAACGAGCCACGGACTCTGTGGTCAAACTTTTACGTAAATTCCATCTTTATCCTTTGATACATCAATAAATCTTGTTTTCATGAATATAGGAAACTATGGAAAGATACCAAGACTAAAGATGCCTGGCATGTACTGCAAAGCACAACTTTCGAAACTACTGGAGTGTGGCCGTAAACAACATATAATGCACCTTGTAGTCAAACCGCTTGTCAAACAACACCGAGAAGCGTTTAGACTCTGTTTTCGCCTAGTCCTTCCTCCTAGCGGCGAAAACCCAATAAATGATGTGCCTTGCTCGTAGAGCCAAACTGTGCGAGGTGCCCAGTATCACAATTGGCGGGACTTTTTGTCAATTTTACGCTTGAGCCCTGTCAGTCTGTATCCTCCAGGAGGATAGAATACTAGTTGTTTTATTGACCTCGTCTTACGATCAATGGGCACATTTACTAAGCTCGTAGCTTCAGCTACTCTCGAAATGATGACACACTTGACGACCGTTCAACAGCTGTGGAAATAAGCTGGTTTACCTACTTTATAAATGACTTTAATAAGTGTATGTCGAAACTGATCGTAGGGTCTGTCTACCGTCTAGAGGGGTGAAGAAAAATATATCTTAACAAGAGAGATTACGACAGCCTCGCAATCCGCCATTCTTCAGATGAAGCATCAACAAGACGTGCAGCGGTTTTCAAACTAGGAGGCTGTGTGTTGATAGGCACTTTAGTGCAGCACCGCGATAGGAGAGACATTTCAATTGACCTGCTCAAACATAGTATGTCGTCTGATTCAAAGTCATCATTTTTTTAATGCAACCAGCGTTGATGTCTGGTAATTATAATGCAGATAATCGCAATGGTCGGCGTCGTTATAGACAGAAACAGCCGGTGTTTGTCAGTGTCGATTGATGGGCCACCCTCCGTTTTTCTTACGACACTTCAAAATAAAGTGTGAATGGAGGGACGGGACTTCTTCATAAAATCAGCGGTATGCGCTGGCACTACGTGATGGTGGACGAAGTTTGTTTGCATATTACGAGACCGAGGTGGGTAAGCTCTAAAGACTAAAGAATCTTCGGGATGCTGCCAATGGTTTAAGTCAAAATGGCAGATGTTGCAGTTGCTCGCACTGCCAAATTAGGCATACATTATGCGGTCAAATTGTGCTAATCCGTTAAGAGACCAAAGTACTCG